TCTGCTCTGAGCCAGTTGAACATTTACCAGTTGTACAATGTAGTACAGCTCATACCGTACAAAAAAGGTGCCAAGTGCAGGGTTACTCTACAGTACATTCTTAAAAACAGGTACTGTAACAGCACCAGACTTGGCCCATTTTCGCTTTTCCCACTTTCATCCCACCCCCACCTTCACAGTTTAATTCCCAGCCCAGCCCACCTCCGGCTACTCAAATTTTCAGCCCATCTCACCTTTTCGACCTCATCTTCATCCCCATTTTTTACAGGCTCAACGCCGCTAATTTTGCAAGTTTTCCGCATACGATAGAATTGCCGGGCGAAAAAAAATTTTGGTTCTCAAGAAAATATGTTCACTTACTAATAAAATCCGCGCGGAGCGCGGAAACTTTTTTGTTTTTGGAGCTCGAATGGTGCATTTTTAGTATTTTTTACATGCTCCTACCCTGAAAAACAGATGAAGATATCAGCATTTTTTATTTTTAATTGTTTTCTTGATCCCATCCCATCTTTCAACAATCCCAGCCCATCTCACCCCATCTGTGACTCTTTCCCACCTCATCCTCATTTTCACCTAAAAGGTGAGACGGGCTGGGAAAAATGGGGAAAATTTTCACCTCACCCAAAAGATGGGCCAAGTCTGAACAGCACTCATACAGCGTAACTGCAGCTATACGTAGACGTCGCGTAGACGCGTTGTTCATCACAAGTGCGGGAACATTGCGATGATTGGTTGTTATGGCGTAACCTAACAACCAATAGAAATTGCGCAACTCAACGTAGTATTAACACATTAGTGACACCTAATTAGTAGCACCTAGATATTATTGAGTATGCTATATTAAAATATTAGTGGCACCTAATTAGTAGCACCTAGACATAATTGACTATATGCTGTATTAAAACATTAGTGACACCTAATTAGTAGCACCTAGACATAATTGACTATATACTGTATTAAAACATGGTTTGCTGAATTTTGCTAAGTTATGCGGCTAATGCTTTAATACAGCATATAGTCGGTAATGTCTACTGTCTAGGTGCTACTAATTAGGTGTCACTAATGTTTTAATGCAGTATATATGCAGCTATATCTAGGTGCTACTAATTAGGTGCTACTAATGTTTTAATACAGTACGTTGAGTTGCGCAATTTCTATTGGTTGTAATCACAGCCAACCATCGCGATGTTCCCGCACTGGTGATGAACGCGTCTATACACGCGTAGACCATGACTCATAGAAGTAAAATTTCATTCGTGATTCTCGCCGAGACTGCAGACTGGCAGTGTGTCATTTTGACGTCACTAACAAACAGGGATTTTGGAGTGCGCCAACAGGAGAATTATGCATTCGCTCTGTTTCTGTTCGTGTTGACGTGTACTGGCGTCCCTTAGTACACATCGGTACTACTTTACTACTTCTTCCCTTACAACTAAGGCTTAGGCTTTACTACATCTTCTACGCGAGTCCTGACCCCGAGTCTCTACTTCGACTTCTCAGAAATCCCCAGCAGAGAACTTTGACCGCGACTTGCCATTTCGACGTGACCGCGCTTCGATGACGTAGCTCAACCTATTGTTCTAGTGTATTAGTTGACCTGATGTTCTCATTAGTCCACGTGTAGTGATGCAGCGGTGTGATTAGTCCACGTGTCCTCAGACGTCTCTTATTGGTTAGCGTGTAAATCCCTATTGTTCTCAGACCCGTACCTGCGCGTACGAAGAGCCAGCACTTGCGGTGCCCACGGCTATATAAGGCGCTCGACGCCCAGTGAAATGTCAAGAGTTGTAATCCCAACAAAAGTAGAGTCTTGTTACTCGATCTGATTAACTTCAGGCTTTTGCTCTGGTCTTCTCTTTCCAAGTGAGGCTGTTCAAACTGACCTCTGGGTGACCTTTCACCTATTGTCAGGGGTCATTCCTCTATCTCGTCGACGTGCATTATCATCTTCGGATAATCTCGTGACGTAACAGGTTACCCATTTGATCCCACTTGATTTGCCGTGACCTTTCGGTCTCATCATCATCTTCATGCCCTGTAGCGCCAGGTTGATGGATATCTCTTATCGCTTCTGCTAACATCTAGCGTCGGACAGGTAACGTATACTTCTCCGTCGTGTGTGTATTTCTCGTGTTTGCAGGACCCGGACCTCTTCTTCTTTTCCTTTCCTACTTCATACCAGATCAACGTAATCTTCTACCATCTTCCGTAACAGTTTGAGACAGAGTCGCTCTATCCGACTGGACGTGGTCGGACTAGTGGATACGGTACCCACTTCACTGTGTTAGGTCTTTAATTCACGTCTTTAATTCACGTGCTAAAATTTTCGAGGCGGTAATGCAATATCGTGGCCATAGCACCTGCGCTAAATTTAAGAATACCGTAACCATTTTTATCACACATTTTTTCCTTGTTTGCAGAGAATGGTTTTCTGTAAATTTTCATGTATCTGCCCAATTTAATAACAACATAGTTTGCGAACGCGCACTGTTTAAAAAGTGCCGGGATAAGCACTTGTTGTTATGGGCCTACGATGACTTCCCGGCGCACCGTAGGCGCACGGCTGCCAACCGCCACAGGGTACCATCCTGGCGAGAATCGTCAATTCGGTAGACTTCGTATGATTGGGTTTTTCCGTTTTCACTCAATCTGGTTTTTGAAATCCGACTGCTGCGGGCTCAGCTAAGAAATCGGCGCTATCACTATTGACCTTTCTACGTTTAACTTAAAATTTCAAGATTTTACTGGATAGTGGCTGGGATACGTTTAGGATATTGATATTGAAATGGCTTCCGGAGGCGTACCGACATTTCGGCATAGGGACATTTCGGCATAAGACACTTCGGCATAAGACATTTCGGCATAAAACCATTTCGGCATAGGGACATTTCGGCATACGGCCATTTCGGCATAAAATCTTCGAGTAAATAATTAATGTCTAAGAAATTTATTAACCTATGAAATTAACCGAAACTTAGAAATCTATGAACCTAGCACGCTAAAAATTCCAAAAAAATTAAGAACCCAAGAAAATCTAAACCTCTAACAAAAAAAGAAAACATTAACCTCAGGAAAATAAAACCATAGGAAGCGCAGGAAAAAACAAAAACATAAGAAATTGTATGAAAACCTGAAACAACCTAAGAAAACCCAAGCAGCCTAAATAGGCCCAAAAGGACCTAATAACACCTAAGAAAACCTAAGAAGGCCAAGAAAACCAAACAAGACTTTAGAAAACATATTAAAACCTAACAAAATCTAAGTAAACTTAAAGTCCCAAATTACCTAAGAAAACCTTAAGAAGCTTTAAGAAGCCAAACATAATCTGAGAAAACATAAAAAACCTAAGAAAATCTAAGCCGAACCTAAGAAGGGCTAAAAAAGCTAAGAAAACCAAATAACCTAAGAAGAAAGAAGATTTAAGAAAACCAAACAACCTAAGAAAATCATACTGAACCTAAAGAGCCCCAGAAACTTGAAATGGCAACTACATTAAAAAGACTGTTTAAAGATATTCCAATGAAATTATTGGATGAAATGTGGACCAAAAAAATGATATTATGGGAAACAGAAACGGAAACACATGGAAATGTCTATATTATGCCGAAATGTCCTTATGCCGAAATGTCTTATGCCGAAGTGTCCTATGCCGAAATGTCCCTATGCCGAAATGGTCGGACACGGCGATGTTCAGTTATTAGGTCGCTGGGTTCCTCGAATCACAGTCAGTTTTTCAGTTAGAATGACGAAACATGTTGCAGGCAGGCTTGCGTCTTGAATTGTTTCAATAAAAATATCAAGTGTTTTGTGTTTTCTCTGAAATAAGTTTTTGTTGAATTTTATTGCTGTGTACAGTATAATGTTATTACCATAATTATTATGGAAGTTGTTCACCACTTGTCCACCATTCTGAAAAAATTTGAAGTGAATATCACTGAGAACGTATTGCAGGCGCAGGCGTATTGCTAAGTGTAAGTGTTTCGTTAATTTGCCCTACATTCTTACGGTATCCGTGATGTTTAGTCCTCAAGGTTCTGTTTAGGAATATCGCAAGATATTTCGCTGAAGACCTTCGTCTGTCCTGAGATACCATTTATGGAATCGAATGGCTTTCTGTTCTTCACGTTTTGTTTAGGCGTTTTGAAAATTATTTAGATACGTTGTCATCTGTACATGGCATTTGTTGCTTGTGCTCTAGGATGCGAAGTTCTTTGCGTTTGACAATCGCAAACTGTGCTTTGCAGGTTTGATTTTTGTGGTGGACAGCAGTGATCGTGGGCGCATCGGAAAAGCTGCGGAAGAATTGAAGCGGATGTTAGCTGAGGATGAATTACGAGAGGCTGTGCTTCTTATTTTAGCCAATAAACAGGTACGTTAAAATTTTAAGCTCCAAGCGGCGACCATTTCCGGCTTTACTGAGATAGCTGAAGATTTAAGTAAATGTGTTTGTAATTTGATTGTTGGATGGTTTCAACTTCAAATTGCAACTGTTGCACGTAAATACGTAATCCAGCCGAGTGTTCATCGTTTGTATTTACGTTAGTTTTTCAAATACTGTGTTTTTTATGGAAATACCTTTTTTTGAATTCCCTCTGCAGAATTTTTATTTTGTTTTATTTATGTTGAATACGAGCTGTTGGTATCGATGATGTTTAGTCCTCGAGGTTCTGTTTATGGATACTGCAAAATATTCCGCTAAAGAAGTCTGCAATAGCCCCTGAAATATCATAAATATGTGTTCTGACTCATGCAGATTGCTGTAAACGGTTGGACGACTTAGTTTGGTGTTCGTTAAACCGGTAGCCTTTTTTAAAAGTACATACTGTTTACACGAAGTATTGTGTTTTAGGAGTTGCCGCATGTAATGACCACTGGAGAGATTTCCGACAAACTTGAATTGCCTTCCCTGCGAAACCGCAATTGGTTCATCCAAGCCACATGTGCCACGAGCGGTGACGGCTTGTATAAGGGATTGGATTGGCTTTCTAATCAGCTGGAGAAACCAAAATGAGCGGATATATGACTCCAGTCAGCGGATCAGTCCGTTATACTGCTGTGTGTGGAAAAACATGTGTTTTTTTTTTATTATTCGGCTCCAGCCTTGCTAATTGGATTTGAGACCTATCCATTGTGGTAATCATAATCTTTTTTTTGCGATTTTCTCTTTTTCTGCCAAATATCATGTTTATGTGATGACGAACGTGCCTTTTAACGTAAAAATAATGCAGTAATAAAAGCCATCCTGTGTGTTTTTTGGTTTTCCGTTTGACCGTTTGTCCCCTGTATAACACTTCACTGTTTGTTTCATTTTGCAACATTCACCCGTTTTTCTTATGGATAAGCCCTTGATTCTTTCAACATTTTTTGGGATGATTATTGAAAAACGATCTGGCCGGTTTACGACTTTGTGATCCGCACGTCTTGTCGAATTAATAGGGTTTTAAGTTACTTACTGGATGTTCAGATTTGCTAGTGCATTAATCGAGCGGGCGAGCGAAGCGAGCCCGCGTTTTTTTCAATATAAGCACTTTGAGGTTTTAAGACACGGCGAGCTTGACCTTCAGGTTCCTCACACCCCGAAACTGCGGTTCTAAGACACGGCGACCCTGACCTTTAGGTCGCCGTGTGACCTTTAGTAACCTTTGTGACCTTTAGGTTCCCGAGACCCCGAAACTGCGGTTCTAAGACACGGCGACCCTGACCTTTGGGTCGCCGTGTGACCTTTAGTGACCTTTAGGTTTCCGACACCCCGAAACTGCGGTTCTAAGACACGGCGACCCTGACCTTTGGGTCGCCGAGTGACCTTTAGCGACTTTACAGTTCCTGAAACCACACAACCGCGATTCTACGGAGCTTAAATTTCTCAATCTTATGTGCTTACACAGCAAACTCTACCTCTTGATTTTTGGTGTGCACGTTAGTGTTGCAGTAGTCAGCATTATGCGTCATTTCTGAATAAGATGGGCTACTTTTAGCATATTATGAGATAACGTTTAACATGACGTTTCTCTTGATGCAGGCGACTACAGACCATAATATCACGTTAAGGCGTAACGCAATGTTGTCGTAACGAGCCGCGGGTACTGTGACAATGGCGATGCTCCAACTTTAAGCTACAATTTATTTGCCATGAGGGATATCACGTTACCTCAACAGATAACGTGAGCGTACAAAGCTGCAGTTATTGCATTTAATGCATTTATCCGTGTTTCACTGCTTCTTGCCTTAACTGGCTTAAGTTTGCGTTATTGTGACTGTTAGCTATAACAATGAAAGCAAAAATCGTAACTGCTTTACTTCGGACTCACCCGAACTGCAAGAGGTTATCGCAAATGCAGCTGGCTGACGTTACTTTAATCGGTTGTAGTTAACACAGCGGTTCGTTGTAATGGGCCACCACTAATAAGTTTAGCCTTAACTAAGGTTACGGATTTGCGTTACAGGGACCTTTGTTGTTTGATAATAATGAATTTAGTGCCTTCTGCAACGGTACAAAGTCGCCTCACGCACACAATAAGATAACACGCATATAACGGCAAAACTGGACAAAATCAAACTCAAAATTTGCGTACTTTAACGTAATAATTCGAAATTACCGTGGGAATAACAGCTATCGCACCGATCTGCAGTGCGGTAGATTGATTTTTGTTATTTTCGAGACTGGCTTTAGTTGCTGTAACGAGCGATGGTAACTGTTACGGGCTTCCTCAGCATAATGAACCGCGGTCTCAGTCACCGCTACCATGGAAGTCTAAGGTTACCGTAAGGGATTCGCACTAACGACACGCCTACCCACATATCGTTTCTGCCAAAATCTGCAGACTTATCCCATTAAAAACTGCAGTTCCCGTACCAGATCACAGCTATAGTAGCAAATTACAGCACATTGAACCGATTGCTGCTGGGACATTATTCTTTTAACGTTTCCGAATGCTTGCTAACGTAATGGGCTCAAGAAACCATAAAAGGATACGATACTGTTATGTAATGTTTTACCGCTGTGCTAAGCAAATTACCGTAAGCGTAACGTTTTCTCTCGTCAAAAATTTACGGTTACAATGACAGGTCATAGAACGCTTACGGAAAGCATATTTCTTGCGCAACATCCTGCTTTCACTGGTTGGTAGATAGCGTGTAGAGTACCTGATACCCTTCATTAAACTTATAACTGTAAAATAGATGGTTAAAACATTACAAGAAGAAAACCTTCCATATAAATACATTAATTATCGCATTTTTTGGCTCCCGGAAATAAGAGCCCCACTGCATCAAGCGCACCTCACCTAGCCTGTTTGAATAATAACACCTCCTCTCGAAATTACGCCCTAGGGAGCCAGTTATAAATATAAAGCCTTGCAGGATGATAAGAATGCTGCAAATTGCCTCACAAAAGTTGTTGCAGTTGTGAGCAAACAATGAACATTCTTTTGCAGATTTTCTACGTAACTAAATATATGCTGACAATATTGCAGGCACGATTAGGCGGTTGCATGTTCCGGCAACTATTATGTTCGCGTTTGCTAGAACAGAATGCGCAGTCTTATAAACTACGGTGTCTTTCCCAAAACATATCGTTCAAGAAACAATGACACCTTCCGAGATTGCGCCCTTCCCAAAATAAGCTCCCTGTGTCATAGCCTTAGGCTTATATGTACCCCAAGGCCGCAGATTCTCTAATTACAGTAAGAAATTTTATTGATACGTTTCGGTGGAATATTTTTTGCTCGAACGCAAACACAGTTTTCGCTACAACTTTAAGTTGCACGCTAGCGTTCTACATATCGAGTTTAAGCTTAATTTAAAGCAGACTTTATGTAGAGCCACTGTTCAGTGGTTTAAAAGGTTAGTTAAATTATAAGCGGATTTTGTCTTACGCTCCCGTTTCGTGAGTGAGTTTGCTTTCTATCACAGCGGCAACAAACGAAGAAATAATTTGCGCAATTCAGTTGCCCGATGTTCAAATTTGCGTTATATTCTACTGCTTATGTAGTAATTAAAGTCACTGTACTTTACATCCTTTATTTGAAGTGAAATTGCACGTGTTTTAGAACTGAAATCGGTTAGGCCTTGTTGATTTGCATACCCACTTATCCCAGGAACTCTTTTCGATAAATATACCCCACTTAAACGAAAGCATCAGAAGGACAAGACAGATTCAGTCGACCAGTACAGAGTTTAAGTATGCATCTTTTCTTGATGGGTGTTACAGAACATATTCAAAATGATTAAATTTAATTTTAAAAAAACTAAGAAAACAATTTAACAATAGACACGTTTAATTGCACTTTGCTCGCTTGCGTATCAAAGTTGCACACTTCGTTTGTGTTAATATTAGTAGAAAGTAAAAGTAAACTTTGTAATTTGTTTGTTGCGGAGGTTCAACTAGCTGCTAATTTTAGTTTAAAAATCAAATGACCTGTTTAATTTTGTCGTCCAATGTTTTCTTGAATGTCTGGCTTGGACGAAAAGGTTGTTTCGAAACGTTTCTTGCAAAGACTTGTTTTCATCGCTTTTGTTTATTCCACTGAATGTATACTACATACTTTATTGTATTCTGCTTACTTTATTTACTGCTTTACAACTTGATCACCTCTGGCTGCTATTGTACTAAAATTATGAAACAGATTTTTTGGTTTAGAGGGTAAACTGCACGAGTGATTCAAGGCAATAATCTTGACAGAATAAGCAACATGCCGGACGGATAATAGAAATGTGGAACGTTTTTATCTGTTGTTTGATAAACTGGGTGGATTTTGAAAAAAACAAGAACTTAAGATACCATTCTTCAGACCACAAATTGTAACTCAGCCATGTATAATAATTTGTCTCATGTTGCTGCTTTGGGGTGAGCAGTCGGTTAACTTGATGTAGGAGATTGTGTTCGCGACACACCAACGATAGATGGTCCGGTGTACGACACGATCGAACGCCGCACCGTAATCATATCGCCGGTGATTGATTGTGTTCGCTCTCATCACAACCGACAAACGATAAACGCTATATGGTCGAGGGTTGCCTCCGAAATGAAACGTGAAATGTTTGTATCAGCCTTGGCGCTTTTGTTTGTGCGAAATTGGTTTTAGCTGCGAAGCCGATGAAAATTAAAATTATAAATTATTTTTTGACAACAAAGCTGCTAGATTTGAGCGCCAATGAGCGTTGTTATGAACATTTGAGTTAAAACAGGCGTCTACGGAGTTCGAGTAAAAAGTTCGCACTGAGTACTTCAACGACGCCGTAAGCTTTGCATGTTAAATTCAAATAGTTGCAAAACCGTTTGTTTTAGGACAAACTCTCCTCACTTGGTATGAAAACACTTATTCTGATTTACTTCGCTTGCTAATCAACAACCATTCGAACTTATTCCGATACCTCAAAAGTTTCGTGATTTGGTAACTGCAGCCGTTCTAATCGATGCATTCGCCACGAGAGCGGTTGCTATTTCGCAGAGCTGTAGGGTAAGCTTGACGATCTCTATGCTTTCTATCGTCAGTCGTATCGTCAGACGGTCCGATAAGGGTACGCCATGAAGACGTGCAAGAGCCTATCGTAAATCATACCATACATCGTAAGCGTTTTTGTGATTGCGAACACAATCTAATTGCTGAATTCTAACAAAGGTGTTTACCCAGTAAACGGAATAAATGGGATTGCGCACAAGTAAGTATATTTTGCAAAGGGCACAAGAAGAGCTTTACAAATGCTTTTTTGGGTCGACGCCTGAAAAACCTTCCTGATTCAATAGTTTTGTTGCAAGTGCAACTTTTGTGAGCTACATTTAAATTCATACCGGCCTTTTTTTTCCTTTTCCGTCAATGTTACTTTGGGCTAAATGGTCAACTAATCAAGAGGAAGTGGCCGAAGAATTGCTATGATCACAAAGGTGACAGTAGCTTAGGGTAGTGCCTAAGTTTTTAAAAACGGAGCGACAGTGGCCGAAGGTGGTGAAAGGGGTGACAATACCCGTTTCCAGCTTAACTGCTTACGCAGAAAGGCAAAAATTTAAAGCTGAAAAAAATATATAACTTAACGTATTAAAATGCCAAACACATACGATTGTAAGTTACGAATATGCAGCTTTGATATTGCAAGTTTCTACCTTTCTAACATGACGGAATATGTTGTACGGTAGCAGCAATGTGCGTACTTCTATAATATCTGTACTGAGGTGCTCGTACTTTACGGCTATATTAATTTGTACTTTCTGGCATTTTCTCTTTTGCTCGAGGTAATACTTTGCTTTGCTAA